AATAAAGATGGTAATAATAATAATATTATAAATGTAATGTATGGCTCTTTTCGTCTATGCAGACGGTCAATTAGCTTAAGATGGTCTCAAGGTTGTCTTTTTGCAGCTTCTTTTATGGCTAATTCTTCCTATGTTTGAAGCGCAGATTCTGTCGCAGTGCTTGCACGCTAGTGACGAAGATCGAAGCTCTGTCTTTCCGATGTTTTCCTTTCGTCGTTGGCGCTTCTTAGTCTGGGTGTTTCTAAGGCTGCTCTCTAGCATTATAGTTCTTTCCTTTATAAATTTTCCTCCATGTGTCCTGTACTCAGATATTTCTTCCCAGATGCCAACATCTACTCCAAGCTCAGATAACCTGTTTTTGCAGGTGTCTTTGTACCTTAATTTTGGTCTTCCTCTTGGTCTCTTTCCCTGGGCAAGTTCTCAATAGAGAAGTTGCTTCGGAATCTGGTTGTTGTCCATTCACCTGACATGGTCCAGCCATTTCAGTCTGTTTAAACACAAGATAGTTGTCATGCTCTGACCAACACTTCAACATTAATTGTAACCTTGTCACGCCACGAAATGCCCAAGATCTTGCGGCAGCATCTGAGATGGAAAATGTCGATGTGCTTTTCTTGCCTGCTGTACTAAGTACATGTTTCTGACCTTTAAAGGAGAATGCTGAGGACGTGTGCTTCGTAAATCTTATTGATTTTGTTTTGATGGTTAATCTTTTGTTTTCCCATGCTCATTTTGTGAGCCTTTCAAAAGTTGTTGCTGCCTTCCCTATCATGATGTTCTCAAGTGGAGGAAGATATCCCCTGGTGAATCTTTGAATGCGTGTTTCAGTAAGACAATAAAATAAGGGTTGGTGTTAAGACACGACCTTGCTTTTCTCCGCTATTGATGTTGAACCGTCAAACTGAATGGTGGCCTTCATATCTTCGTGGAATGAGATGATGAGCTGTAGCAGTATTGGGGGACAGCCAATTTTTCCAAGCACCATGTACAGTCCCCATCTACTCACTGTATCAAAAGCCTTTGTCAGATCGACGAACGCAGTTTGTAATAATAATAATAATAATAA